CTCCCCACCCTCTACAGGGATGGGCTTTACACCAAGGGATGCGTGCTCGGTTCCCACACAAGCTGGCTGTCTCTTTGCGTGTCTGAGCGTGTGGTGCTGGGGAGCAAACCCAACAGCCTTTGTGCTGCGCTGCAAGCCCTTTCTGTTCTCTGAGACAGAGCCTCCGTAAGCCACTAAGTTGCCTAGGATGGGCTCAAACTTGTGATCCTCCTGCTTCAGCCTTCGGGACTCCTGGATTACAGAAGTGCACCAACATGCCCAGCTGAACTTGCAGCTCTTCACAACTGGTTGCCCATGCTCGACTCCCAGGAGTCCCCACACACAGTGCCAGTGGGCTGCCACTGCACAGGTCACAGCTGGCGAAGCCACAGCAGAGGAGCTGACCCCCAAACTGGCCGAAATTACAGATCTTCAGGGCCAATCAACTCGCTCTGGAGATGCAAACTAGAATGCAGCAGGGAGGAGGGAAGGCACGAGATACGCCAGCCGCACCGAGAGGCCGCTGGGCCTCAACAGGAGCCACTTCCGTGTCCTGGTGCAAGGGGGGCGTATCTGCAGCTGCCGCTTCACACGGAAAGCAGCTCTGTACGAAGCTGGGGACAGGGCAGACTCTGACATGCGGGACAGCGGGCCTAGGTGGGTCTCATGGGGTATCTTTCTCAATTTCCAGGTTTTCAGGCAGATGCTACGAGCTAGCAGAAAAAAACAAAAACACCAGAGGGATGGCTAGGAGGTAGTAATAGGCTGAGAGGCCACAAAAAGCCAAGGCATTGTGTAAAACCAAGCCCATGTGTTTACAGAGTCCTTACTGAGCGGCTTCGGTGCGCCAGCAGCCTGAGGCCCTGACGCTGGTCAGGGAAAGGTGAGTTTTGCGGGCCCTGCAGCTGAAGGCGCCAACCCTAAACAGACATGGGTCAGGGCTAGCAAACACTGAGATGATGTGAAGCAGGAGGGACCCAAGCAGGGGCGCCATCTGCAGCCAGGTGGTCCTGGAGGGCAGCAGTGTGGTCCAGCGCAAGGAGCCAGGTGATGTGGTGACAGGAAGAAACTGCCTGGACAGAGCGGGCAAGCCCTGTGCCAAGGCCAGCGGGGCTGACGTGGCCAGAAGAGCATGGTGGGGATGACGGGCAACGTGGCAGGAGGCCTGGACTTGCCGGGGACCTTCGTCCTGGACACCTCATCTAATCCAGGAGGCCCTGACCAGACATGGGCCTGGGCCTCCTTTCTACAAGGCAGCCCAGCTGGGGCCACGCTCCGACAGGACCTGCCGCAACACAGTGGGGAAAGGGACCCTACTGAGCCTGGCAAAGGCCGCAGATGCGCTCCAGGTGCGACAGAGCCACCGAGAGCTGGGCAGGAGGACCTCACTGGCTGCGCACGGGGAGAGTGGGTCACGGGGCTCCAGGAAGGCATCCAATGATGAGGCACAGGGGTCCGGGCAGAGGGTATGAGTCAAGGGTGGCAGCTGGGTGCCGGGTGTCTTTCGGTGCTCTGGTTATGAGAATGGGGCAAAGGTCACAGCGGAGCAGTGACAGGGAACACATTGGGACTGTGCAGCCTTGTGACATAGACACTCTAGACGCAGCCAGCATCCTGCTAGGGTTCCGGCCCTCACCTCACCACTTGTTCTTTTTTTAGTACTAGGATTCGAACTCAGGACTTTGTACTTGCCTGGCAGGCGCTTATGCTACTGAGCTATATCCCAGGCTACCGTTTGTTCTCTCTCTTTTTTTTTTTTTTTTGCGGTACCAGGGATTGAACTCACGACCTTGCGCATGCCAGGCAGGCGCTTATGCCACTGAGCTATATCCCCAGTCCCCTGCTTGCTCTTTTGAGGTAACTAAGACATCGCCAGGCCTGCGGCTGTAATCCTAGCTGTCAGGAGGCTGAGGCAGGAAGATTGTTGAGTTTGAGGCCAGCCTGGGCTATGTACAGAGTTACAGGTCACCCCATAATACTGTGCACAGCAAAGCCAGGAGTGGTGGCACACACCTGTAATCCCAGGACTTGGGAGGCTGAGGCAGGCAGACTGCCTCGAGTTCTAAGCCAGCCTAGCAAGATCCTGTCACAAGAAGAGATATTGGCTGTGGCTCAAGCCCCTCGATAAAGAAGGAAGAGCTATACCTTCATATGCAAAAACTCAAGCATTACAACGATGCAAACATGACACTAAATGAAGTGAAGTTCTGTGGCAGACTTTCATATCTACATTTTAGTTCATACAAGTTTTTATTTATGGCACTTTTAGGTTTTATAAGCAAGTAAAGAGCTGATATGAAAAAATAAATGAACGAAGTGCAGGACGCAAAGCTAGCATAGGCTGGGGAACCGTGGGGCACAGGAGGAAGCTGAGGAGACCTTCCCCCCTGTGCTGTCTAACTGCTCCACTCTATAGAAACAACCTTCTGTGCACTACTCGCTGGAGAGAGGCTGTCGCTCCATGCTATGCACTCGTTCTACCCTCGCCCGCCCCCGGCCCTGAGCGACAGAAAGCTTGGAATCTAGAGACATCGCCATGCCTCAGTTTCTCCAGGGGGAAGGTGCATTTATTACACCCCCTCTGAGACTCATGTGGACTCACCCAGTGGGAGGCACCCTCTGTCCTAGGCAACCCGCCAGGGCAGAAGGAAAGGATGGGGCACACATGTCTGGGACAGGGGAGCGCCCCAAGAGGCCCTGAAACTGAATGCCCGAGGCAGGAGCGCAGCCCTCTGTGCTCTCTTGCCCCCCAGTGGGCAGCACTTGCTCCCGCTGACAGTGCCAAAATGCCAGTGAGCGTTCTCAGGAGGACCTGCTCTCAGCAGCTCCGCAGGTTGCCTCTGCGTGCCCTCTTGCACACACAGCTGGTAAATGGCTGCATCTACACTCATGGGGGGATGGATGTACGCTCATCCCACGATGGGAGCCCCAAGAGCCCAGGCAGGGAGGGGCCCAGCGAGGGCGGCACTACTAGCAGACCTGCGGGGCCGCTAAGGAAAGGGCAGATCTGAGGGGAGCTGTGACGATGACCCAAGAAGGAGCTGGCGAGTCCTGACACCTAGGCAGGACGATGCCCAGAGACTGACTTTAGAAGGCTTCTTTAGAGGCTACAGGGACCGTGAGCAATGCTCTGAGCCACCCCGCCATGCTCTTTTCTTTTGTCCAAGTAGGACGCAACCTCAGGAGCCTCCTGAGTGGGTCACAGGGATTCACAGCCAGGCTTTGTGGGAGTGGCTCCAGGGCGTGGCAGCCCTGCCCTCTGCACACTGCTGGAGCTCGCAGGTGCATGAGAAGAACACAGCACACAAGGATTCCCGAAGTTAGGTATCTGTCCAGGTGCTGAAATCCTGTCCAGCCCCTAGGCACTCTCTCTCTTCAGAATCCACTTAAACTTACCTTGGGCTTGAAACGCAACAGTTTCACCTATGGCCTCACCGCTAGGGTCTGCATGGAATCTTTTTGCTTTCTCTTGTAACACAGCGTCCAAAGTCTCCTGCGCGATCCGCCTTGCGGCCATGCTTCTCTGCGCTGCAGAGAGAGAGGAGACAATGAGAACGAGCTGGTGCGCTCACTAAACCTGAAAGGCAGCGGGGCGGGACCCACAGCCCAGGACGTCACATCAGAGGACTGTTGGCTGCTCTTCCATGGGGCGCTGCAACTGCCCGCTGCAGCCCGAGACCCCTTTCCTGGGAATGTGCTGGCACGCACTGTGACGAAGCAGTGCTGCTTTCAGAGGCTGCTGGACCACAGCGGAACCAACACACAGAACAGCACCGAGGATCAGAAGGGTAGGACGGGAACTCCGGCCAAGGGTGGTGAGGAAGGACGGGGCCGTTCTTTTCCCATCTCTGACTGGGGAAGAGGCACACAAAGCCCACTTGGGACAAGTGATGGGAACAACCTCCACCTAGTGACAGTGAGCTAGGTCCTTATATAATCCCTTTTTCTTTCATTTTCCTTCTTTTTTTAAGGTAAGGGCTCAGTATGTAGCCCAGGCTGGTCGGGAATTTCAAGCAGCCCTCCTGCCTCAGCCTCCCCAGTCTGGTACGACAGGCGTGTACCACCGGGCTAGGTCTCTTCTGCTTCTTGCAGCAGCCCCTCGACGAGGTGGCTCTGTCGTCGATGATGTTACACAGGGCAGGAGAGGGACTTGGGCTGCGTGACCCATCCAAGGTCAGACAGCCCAGACCTGAACCTGGCCACAGGCAGTGGCAGGGGAGACAAAGCCCTGAATAATGAGTTGTGAAAGGAGAGGCAGCAACGTTCGGGGGTTTCGTGGCGGTGTCCGTCATCACCAGCTCCTGCTGGGTGACACCTCCGACTTCCAAGACGCAAGCCTGCCTTGAGACCATCGGTGCAACCACCGCCCCGCGTTCCCACCCTTTTTTCCCAAAAGGCCCCTCGCTCCCCGCGGTGAAGGCCCCTGGATCAGGCGCCCTGGACCCAAAGCAAGGCCCCTACCCTTCCCCGCCCCCGCCTCCCCTGCGATGGCCGGCGGCTGCAGCGGAACGGGCTCCGAAGGGCCGAGGCGGGCGCGATCGCCGTTACCGCCCCGAGCCGCGGCTG